CGATACATGGACACATATATACGGCTACCTCTTGTGTTTTACCCTTCTCGATTCCTTACAGATTATGGGCTCAACCCCCCCCCCCCCCCCCCTGGCTTGGCCAATGGGCTAACCGCTAAGGGCTGGGAAACATGAGTACCTCCACACGAGTGGTCTTGGGTGGTCCCCCCCCCGCCCCGCTTGAAACGACCATGTTCTTACCGAGAGTACCCGAGCAGCTGGTAGCGGCCGTTCTGCTTCAGGTTGAGGGCTAAGTCCACCCTGCCAGGGTCGACAGAGACGCTCCCGACGATGCGCCCAAACACCTGCCCACAACAAGAGAGTAGAAAAGCCAATCGAAAGAAACAAACAAGGCAAAAAAATATATATATCAAAACCGATCGAGGGTCCGCAAACGAACATCCTTCCATCCTTCAGAAAGGTGACAAAGAAGAAAAAAAAATCGAGGAAAAAGAAGAAAGAAAAAAGAGCAACACAACAAAACCGCAGGACAAAATAAACATCCTTTGAGAGAGGCGCGCAGAACAGGAACACAAAGTGAGTTTTTCACTGGTTGGTCTGTTAAGACAAGGTGGGCTTACGGGTTGGTCTTATGAGGACAAGGCGAGATTTTACTGCTTGGTCTTGTGAGGACAAAGTGGGCTTACGCGGGTTGGTCATAGAAAGGCAAGGTAGGCCTACACGGGTTGGTCATGGTAAGGCAATGTAGGCCTACACGGGTAGGTCTAACAACAACAGCAACAGCAATAACTCATCCCGCTTATTGCCATCTTCTACCTAATCCACCTTACCCCACAGTCTTGGCTTTCTCAGCTGCAGTCCCCCCCCCCAAGATCTTCACGTAAGTTATTCTACAAGCTCACCTGTGGCGAGATCCCGAGGGTCTGGCACGCCTTGTGCTGAGGGAAGTAGGCGGTTTTGACGGACTGTACGATGGCAAGCCCGAAGGGGGGTTCGGGTGGCCTCAAGTCCGCAAGCACGTCGACCTGCACGGTTCACATGACAATAAATACAGCAGTCGAGGCTCCGATGTCAGAAGGTATCTTATTGTTAGAGGGGGCTCCGATATAAGTAAGAGGGTCGAAATCGGATGCCACGGACTCGACCCCCTATGTAGTATAGTTGGGTCCTGTCTTATCCCGATATGAGTGGGGAGTCCGATAAAATAGGGTCGAGGGCCTATGTCACACCACCCTCTCACAACCGAGCGACGACTGTAGCAAAATACAATACAAGTACACTATTTGAATGGTTTACCTTCCCCTTGCTGTGAGCGACGACCTCTCCCCCGCAGCCGTGGCCGTTTCCTCCATGGAGGCAAGTGACGCTGAAAAAAAAAAAAAAAACGAAAAAGAACGAAAAAAAAAAAAAGAGAGGTGAGAAGGCAACGAGGATGTTCAGCAGCCGTGGCCGTTTTCTCCATGGAGGCAAGTGACGCTGAAAAAAAAAAAAAAAGAACGAAATAGAACGAAAAAAAAAAAAGAGAGGTGGAAGGCAACGAGGATGTTCAGCAGCCGTGGCCGTTTCCTCCATGGAGGCAAGTGACGCTGAAAAAAAAAAAAAAAAGAGGTGAGAAGGCAACGAGGATGTTCAGCACCCGATCAAGGCTCACTGGCGACAAAAAGGATAGGGATGGATTTGTTGTGTCATATAAAGAAAAGAAACAAATGCATGAATCGAAAGAAGACACACACACGAAAAAAAAAACAGGTGGGGGTGACCATTGCGAAGGCCTCCCATCTCTTTTCACAGAAACGGAAAACAACACCGGAAAGAGAGTGAAAAAAACAAGGACGAAGCAAAAGGTTAGGCCCTAATAAGGGGGGCAAAGCCTTCAGTGGAGGTACTGCATAGAGAGTACTGCACGGTTTTGGCAACGCCCAACAATAACACCAACACCAACAACAGCAACAGCAGTAGCAGCAGTAGTAGTAGCAGCAGCAACAACACCACCAGCAGCAGCAGCAGCAGCAGCAGCAGTAACAACACTAACACCAACAACACCAACAGTAACACCAACAATAGCAACACCAACAACAGCAACAGCAAAAACATCAACAGCAGCAGCACCAACCACAGCAGCGGTGCCACACCCAAACAAAAAAAGAACACCTAAATTACAACCATCTATTCTCTCACCGACTACCGAGCGGAAAACGTTCTTCTAGGGTGACGTTCTCCCTCTCCACGAAGCGGGGGTCTTCAGATGGGCACGACCATAGCACCATGTGTACCGGCACCTCCGCCTCTTCCTTACCAAACACCTGATGCATTAATATAGAAAGCGTTTCATTGACAAGCCCACGTGAGCACGGCCCCACCGCCTTGGTTGGCTAAGATTGGCAAGTTATGTGCAAAGTCATGCGTGGAACTAAAAATAAATGGCACAAAAGGGGTATATACTGCTGCAGCGTCATCGAAAGGGGGTGACGCAACATGAAAAAAAGTGCCAGCTGGCAGCATGAAAAAAGTGCCAGCTGGCAGCAGGACCAGCCCACAGTTGGCTGCTGTACGAGAAAAGAAAGCCGCCCACAACTCGACGATTCGGCTTGCCCACCCCTTCTCTTGTATCGTAGCCGCCACTCTGTAGTCAAGAGATCAGTGCTGTAAAAAAAGACACTGGTCTATCGTATACGAGATAACACACCCGCAGCACCGATGATCAAAGCTCGATTTTCTCAACAGTAGGAAGAGCCACAGCGACGAAAACGGGGGCGTTGAAGCTGTCTGGTCGAGAGCTTTCCGAAAACGTATCGTTTCGTTTATGCATCCTCTCCGTCGTGGCGCAATCGAACTTTGAAAATCGGTCCAGCGTGTGTGTTATCTTGTGTCGTATACGGTACGCATGTTTTCCTAAGTAAGCAAAACATTCTGGACAAATTACAAAATCGGCAAACTTGGGGTTAGGGTTAGGGTATATTTTCGTAGTAAATACGTAAATACCATACACTTTCGTACTCTCTCTTAGTGCAGGCAGGCAGGCAGTCCAAAAAGAAAAAAAAGGGTGCGGGCTGACTGACCTTGCGTCTCGCGCCTGTTGCCGGGTCGACCCTCATGCCTTGGAGGGGACGCGCCTTGAGCATGAGCTGAACCTTGCCGATGTCGACGCCCCCGCTGCCCGGCACGCCTCTTCCGGTGATGTACGCACCCTTTTTCGGTTTCGAGTTTTCACAAGAAAGGGGTGTGTGGGGTAAGCCGGAGGTATGCGCCAGGGTACCAAGAGGGGCGAGATATGTAGGACACGATAAGGTATAGTGTAGGCAGCCTTTCGGTTTCGAGTTTTCACAAGAAAGGGGTACAGTGGGGGGCCCTCTATAGTGCCGGTTGAATAGTGCCAACTGCCGGTATAGTGCCGGTAAAATCTCTCCACACAGAAAGCGCCCTCAATAGTGCCAAACGGCACTATTGAGGGCGGGCCTGGTATAGTGCCGGTTGGGCACCACGTCAGCCCGCAATAGTGCCGGTTCACACACGCACGCACACACACCACCACACGCCCAAAATACAGACACCGTGCTGCTGCAGTCCAACACAGCTCTACGCAGAGGCGCACCATGCCGTGTGCGGAAGGTGAACTGTGCCTTCAACAGAACAGAACGCCGAAGGCCCCTATGGCCACGTCTGCAAGGGAGGATGTGGCGGGCGGCTCCATGGCACTTGCGGCAGCGTGGAGGGTGACTTCGAAACATCCCGCATCTGCAGTTCTTGCGTCGCTGCTAAGACTGGCAAGCGCAGAGCGACCGCAGCTGGGGTTGATGCTGGGGCGGGACCATCTAAACGTCCGACAGAGAAAGGGGGGGGGAAGAAGGCTTCTCGCGCGCGGCTGAGCAACGCTGACAAGGTTGAGGTCCTCAAGCTGCTGGATGCCAAGATTTCTCATGAGCAGATAGCAGATCGCTTTAAGTGCTCGGAACGGCTGGTCCGCAAGGTGAAAGCTGAACGGAAGGAAGTGGAGGCTAAGGCAGCTGCAGGCGACGGAAGCCAGAAAACCGCACGCAGAGGAGACTTTCCGGAGGTAGGTAGAGTACACGACATGCCTGGCAATTTCCTCTCGAACGTTGTTTTTCCCCGCCATTTTTCAAAAATGCCCTCATGTCGCCGATTTCTACTGCTGTACCTTTTTTTTTTTTGCCCTTCCTTGTTTCTTTGCCTTTCCCTTTTCGTCTTTTCGTATGTATCATATGGTGTTTTTTTTTTCATGTCACCTCCTTTTTTTCTTTCTCTTTGCCTTTTTTTGTTATGTCTTTGGCCTTTGAGGTCCTCGATGTCCACACTCATAGACCTTCCGATTATTTGTCCTTGAAATTGAAAGAGCACTGTTGTGTACATATTCGCACCCGCTTTTTTTTCAAAACAAACAAGCAGATGTAAGCAGATGTAAGCAGATGTAGCCTGTACGAGCGTCTCCTCGCAACTTTCCCTTTCCCCTCCCGCAATTTTTTCTTTCCGGGTGTAGTGGCACTTAAAAAACATCAGCTTTGTTTACGGTGTACCGCGGCGTCGTCCCTCGTATCTGCGCCGCGCAGTGTAGATGCTTACGTTTGAAACTAATCGTTGGTCGCTTGAACCTCTGCATTGTATACTCTTTTTCGCCGGCAGGTGGATGAGATAGTTATTGATCTGCTCGATAAAGCCCGGAAGGCCAAGATGCCCGTCACACGGGACGTACTTCGAAGCTTCGGCCGTTCCACCGTGGCAACCCTGCTCGCTGAGCCCGCTACTTCTGCAGCAGTGAGGGCGAGGGTCGAGGACTTCAAGGCCGGTGAAAAGTGGGCCAAGAACTTCGTGAAGCGCAACAAGGTGCTGAGTGCGAGACTTCATGGCGAGGCTGGTAGTGTCGACCCAGCGGCCATCGAGAAGGGCATGGAGGAAGTCAGGAGCCTTTGCGCGAAGTACCCAGCTAGGTTCATCTTCAACGTGGACGAGACAGGCATCCAGTGGAAGCTTATGCCCAGGCGCACGTATCTTTCCTCCTCGGAGGACCGCAAGAAGGCGCGGGGCTCCAAGAGCATGTACTTCAAGGATCGGATGTCTGCCATCATGTGCAGCAACGCCGACGGCACTGCCAAGGTGGACATGGCCATCATCGGGAGGTCGAACGTGCCTTGCTGCTTCACGGACGCGCCTTCACCTCTGAAGTACTTCTCGCAGGCCAACGCGTGGTCTGACTCCGCGACGTTCCTCAAGTGGTGGCTTGAAGTCTTCCTCCCGTTCATTCGGCGCTTCACTCACGAAAAGGTGCTGCTCCTGATGGACGGCTGCTCCTCTCACGGCGATCTCGTTCTTGATCGTGGGCAAGTTACCATCAAGTTCTATCCTCCGAACTGCACCAGCCTGCACCAGCCCATGGACATGGGGATCATCGCGAAGACGAAGGTCCTCTACAGGAAGGAGCTGCTCGACGTGAAGGCATCCACAATGTTGGTCGCTGAGACCCTTCGCGCCCAGGCCAAACCCAGTAAGATGAAGGCCGGGACGATGGGGCTGGCGCAGGGGCACCAACCTCACCTACGGGACGCCGCTGAACTTCTTCAGAAAGCATGGGGCAGCGTCACTCCCCAGGACATCGCCAGGTCAGGTTTGAACATGTTCTGTTGCTATGTAGATGCTTCAACTCGGGCGGTGGTGCTAGCACAATAGCTTTGGTGGCACGTTTCGTGGCAGAGGTGGTACGGATTTTTTTTGAGAAAGTTTCCTGCAGGGGCATCCCTCGTTTGCAATAAAAATTTCCTCTTTTTTTGCATGCGGATGAGTCAACTTCTGCCGCTGGGTCCGTCTAATATCTGCGTTGCACTCAAAAACGGATGCGGTTCGTATTCTCGGCAACCCCGCGACCAGGTGCTTTGTCAAAGCCGACACGCTTCCGCAGGAGATGGCGGCTGAACTCACCAACCTCCACGGGAAAACCCAGGCCCGCATCCACGAGCCTGCGTTGAGGTCCCTCACGAAGAGTGTCCACTCGTTGAGCACGAGCGTGCACGACGCGCAGCAGCAGGGGTCTCGCATCGAAGACGAGGACCTGAGTGAAATGTTCGCAGAACTCAACATCTCACCCGGAGAGCCTGCCCCGGAGGAGGCGGTGAACTTAGTTCAGGCGTGGGCTACCATCGAGGATGACGATGGCGTGGTGGAGGCTTTTCGACAGGATGCAGCGGACGAAATGACGGCACAGCTAGCGGGAACGCACCTATCTACCTGCCGCGAGGAGGAATCCGAAGATGAGGCGGACAGTGATCATGAGGACACGGGGGGCGGCCGCCGCGCCCCACCGGCTTACGGTGAACTGTCTTCTCACTTCGGCGTCCTGGAGGTGGCCGCGCGGGAGAGTGGAAACGGGGACGCTGCGTTCCACCTATCGAAAGCGAAGATGGCGATGATCGCGGCGCATGCCGCTAAGGGCGTGCGCCAGACAGACATGAGAGAGTTTGTTGATGAGTGAGGGGGGACAGCTATACCGCAGTTTTTTTCTTTTTGTTTTGTTTTCTTTTTGTCCGCTTCGTTGCTGGCGCGTTTATTGGTTTTGTTGGCGTGTCTCATCACGCAACATCGTAGGGAGGCAGCGAGGAACGTGATATTTTTTCAAGTATACTAAGTTACACGGACGGGAGCTGTACACGGGGTTTGGCTCCGAAGGTGAATTCTGCGCGTGCATGCGGGAATGGTTTCGCGGCAAACTCAGCTATCAGAGTGGAACCCACATTTGTCGCAGAAAAGGCTGCCCCTGCCGCCCACAAAGTATATTCACCACACTCGATCCACATGCTACTCTGTTGGCCTCGCAAATGGTAACCGATACACCATGAACTCAAATAGCAGTGCCTCAGTAGTGCCAGACCGGCACTACTGAGGGATATCGATCACCCGAATAGTGCCGTTTGGCACTATTGAGGCACTATTCTCAGTTGTGCCGGTGCCCGCTATAGTGCCGGTGAACGCCCTGCGCACGTACCGGCACTATAGAGGGCCCCCCACTGTATGTGGGGTAAGCCGGAGGTATGCGCCAGGGTACCAAAGAGGGGCGAGATATGTAGGACACGATAAGGTATAGTGTAGGCAGCCTTTCATGTTTCGAGTTTTCACAAGAAAGGGGTATGTGGGGTAAGCCGGAGGTATGCGCCAGGGTACCAAGAGGGGCGAGATATGTAGGACACGATAAGGTGAAGTGTAGGCAGCCTTTCATGTTTAGAGTTTTCACAAGAAAGGGGTATGTGGGGTAAGGCGGAGAGCGAAAGAGGTGTGCAGGACAGGATAAGGTACCAGGGGAGCTTTGAATTTTTATGTTTCGTTTTCGAGTTTTCGCAAGCGAAAGGCGGGTGTGGGGTTCCGGGCACCCTTTTCGTTTTCGAGTTTTCACAAGCAAAGGAGTGGCATGTAGGGGAAGGCGGAGGGGACACGCTTGGGTAGCAAGTAGCAAGAGGAGTGAGATACACGCAGGACACGATACCGTTCGGTGCGATGTACAGTAGGCACCCTGATCATTTTTTCGAGCTTCAACACGTTGTGGCGTGGCGGATGCTGCAACTCCCTCTACCTTAACGGTACATATCGAAGAATACCGAGTGTTCGGAAACTTGACATCAGAGGTGTGGTTTCCTCGTGATAACGACTTCAACAACACAACCAGGAGAAGTCGCCCGAATGACCTTGTCCAACACTGCCATGTTGTCCACGTGCATGTACACTAGACTATTCGATACATTATGGCGAGAGCAGGCGATAGCCAGTGGCGGCTTTCGCGAGTGATGCTACCTTAACGGCCCTTCCAGCATGGAGAAGCCTTTCCCCCCTGTTGTTGAGTCTACCGTACCAGAGAGAGCAAGGCCTGCCACAGCAAGCACTGCTGTCCGAAAAGACCAGACAGGGTCTTCAGAGGTTGCTATGCACACAATACACGTGTAAACCTCACAACAAAAATACAACTACATAGATCAAACGGCATAATAAACACAGCCATATTCCGTTTTTCTGGTTATAGCAGTACCATGCAACAATTCTTACCGTTACATGAAAAACGCATGGAGGCGCATGTCGCTGTGACGCAGGAAGGGGTGACGATGCTTCCTTTGTCCAGTTGTACACACATAGCGTGTAGAGGCGAGCGGAGTGGCCTAGACAATCTGCCGTTGACTTCTATTGGCTTGCGGACCCTCCGGGTCCTCTCTATTTTCGTATACAATACCTTTTTATTTTTTGGGTAAGTTAGCCTGTGACCACGGGAATCGATCCCGTCAAGTGTTAGACTAGTAAGGACAGAAGAAGGTACTGGGTAGAGAGAGCGGAACGGTTTTTAATGTGAAGGCAACAGCAACAAACAACAACAACAACAACAACAACAACAACAACATCGACTCACTTGCTCTTCTGCGGCCTTTAGACGCCAGCGGCCAGCCGCCTCGTCGGTGAAGGTGCTAACCTTTACCCTCGTCTTGCGCTTCTTGCCCCCCCCGCCCTTGACTTCCTCCAGGCGGTACTCCTGCACACACAACGGTCGATTTGTTGTTGCTTGCTGTTGTCGTCTTTACATGAAGAAACGTCCCGGTCTCCGCTCAGTAGGTTGATTGGTGTTGTTGTTGTTGTCGCCTCTGTTGTTTGTTGTTGTTGTGATCGTTGTTGTTGTTGTTTTGTTGTCGCTCCTGCGCTGCCGTTGATCGTTACCGTTGTTGTTGTCTTAACAACACGAACCGTACCAGTCTCTGCTAACACCCGTACCGGCCCAACTGGCGCCTTCGGTGGTCACACACCAACTGCACCCAAGCAGTGAAACGGGACACGAGGCGTTTTCACAACGCGTTTTATACCGTGTTCCAACTCCTCCATTTTCGGCACCATCGCTGAACAGAGAAATCGAGTTTTTCAAACCATCGGCCCAGGGGGGGGTGTGGTATATAATACGTATGCAAACGGCGGTATGTATATCAATCGGCTGCTGCTGCTGCTGTACAAACCTCTTTTTCGTCGCTGATGCCGACCACCTGAGCCTCGTGCATGAGAGGCCAGTTGAGGTACGCAGACCTCCCCAGAACCTTCCCCGACAGCGCCGACGCCGGGGGCAGCACCGGGGGCCGCTTCAGCTCTAGGACTAGCGTCTCGTACCTGATTGATGTTGACACAAACAGCGGAAAACAAAGTTGTACAGAAAGGGATTTGCGTGGTTTTATCCTTCAGCTCTGAAGAGACTGCAGAGTCTCGTACCACATGGTGTTGACGAAAATCACTAACAAAAATGGTGGTTTACACGAGTGGCGACAAATCGGTCCCCTACGCATGCATCGAACCGTTACTGAATTTATTCGGGGTTCTGATTGAGACGTGATCAAGCTCCCAGGAAAAAATACTTCGTAATACGGGATCTATAATTCTACGATTCGTAAATACTAACTATGCTGTAGTTACAAAAGGGCAATCCATATTGTACCTGGACGCCGTTCCGAAGCAGTTTACCGGAACCTTCCGCTCTTCCACGGAACCGACGGTAAGCACGTGCAGGCTGGGAAAACCCGCGGACGGGATGATGGCGTCGTGGGGAAGCTCCGGCCGGAAGCACTCCCCTGGCTCGATGGAGAATGGCACAATCCTAAGGGAAGCAAAGAAAAATATGACAAACAAATCGTGATTGACGAAAGAAAGTATTGAAACACTAGGAGAGAATGGGGGAAAATGCCGTTAAGAAACAAAAAACGTAAGACACGATCAACCCAGGAAATGAACCGAAATAACAAGACGTGAGACAACAGAAAAACATGGAAAAGACGAAGAAAAAAAACAAAAAAATGTATGTACAGGAGTAGTGCCGAAACGGCAAAAAAAAAAAAAGACAAGGCAAGGGGGTCAGCAGAACGAAAAGAAAGCAGACACTACATTCAAAGGATACGCTCGTGCGGCGGAATAAACGGGCCACAGACCAAGCGCAACAAGCCGCAGCCAACGAGACGCAACGCTCGACGCAAGACTACCGTACCCCACCGAATAATTGAACCCATGGCATATCTGGTTTGGCACAGAACACGCAAGGATCATGATCAGCTTCTGGGTCATCCTTGTCAAACGTACAACCATAGCCTGAACCCGCGACCACCGGGCAGCATATCGCTCCGTCCTGGCATTGTAGGGATGCCGAGGTGGGCCTATGGTCTACCGACTACGGCATGATGCGCTGACAAGAGTACACCCCCCCGTCCCCGGAGTACCACACCCTAAAGGTGATGATATTCCCACGGCTCAACATTAGCGACAACACGAAAAAACTATTCTCGGATCGTCCTTTACAGCAGTAGGTTCAAGGACGATAGTTCCCAACCACAGAATGACACACCCGATGATGATGATCAAACGCCAAAAATGTTATATTTATCATCACCCGGGGGGGGGGTGGTATCTTGTGTGGAGTGCGGTGCTGCACTCCTCTGCAACGCCAAAAAGAAATACTATATGAGACACACAAGACAGCTACCAAACTGTCTTGTTGAGCCTGTTACCCGCAGGGGAGATGTCCCTATATGCTGTCTGGGAAACCGTAGACAAACAGGTACTTTCTGACGCTATGAATTCATTGCTAATCTGTCTCAGACTCTTTTCTATGATAGAGATGGATTCGTTGTGTCATACTAAGAAAAACAAAAAATACTAACACCGCGGGGGTGATGTTATCTTGTGTGGAATGCGGTATTCCACTCCTCTGCGTTGCTATCTGCAGCATTACGTACCTCGATGATGCCGTGCACTGGGGAATATCCGCCAGCCCTATCTCCGGGTTGCAGGACATCTCTTTCCGGCTCACGAAAGCGTCGTGGAAATACTCCACAACCTGCCAACAAGAAAAAAAAAAACAGGAAACAACCACGCGGGATTCGAAACGGATCTATCTGCGAAACGGGACACCCAGAGTAAGCGGAAAACCGCAAACATGCGGGTGTTCCACGGATCGGATATGCGAATGGGACGCCCTGGAAAATCCCCATACCCCCCAAGAAAATAAAATTTTGCCCGATGTTCGATTTTTTTTCCTATGCGGGGAAATAACCCCAACGGCGACAATACAAATAACGAGCGTCGCGAGCATTGTCGCGGCAAACGGAACTCCAATCACCACCATTGCTCAAGCACCGATAAGACCACCGCCGCTGATCATCTAGACATTGGGGGGGGGTCGGTTTCGCCCATACCCTGGTGTCCGTTTCTGTCTCTAACAGCGGGGGGTGACGCAGCTGCGAGACACACGGTGCTGGCAAATACTACACCATGACACGAAACTTCGCAAAAATAAAGAAAAAAAGCGCCAGACACCGCAAGTTGGATGTTCCGTTGCCGGGGGGAGGGGGGTTACTCATGTTTCGCATGCCTTCGCGGTTAGACCATTGACCACGCGTCTTCGAATGGTTACCATACGACCAGTCACCGGTGGTCAATCTCTCGCTCCTACTTTGCCAAAGGTGGCCCAGTAAACATGCTTCAAATATCCCATGTTTAAAAAAACAAAAAAGCCTTTTTTTGTTTTGTTTTTTTCGGGGGGGGCGGTGGTTGGGGATGCTTCTCACCTGTCCCCTTGTGTTTCTCTCCGCCTCCTGGGGCGACAGTGCCGTGGGAGGACACAGCTCCTTCACGGCCGCTCGCAGGCGGTAGGCGTCGATGAAAGGGAGCACGTTGACTGCCTCCCATGGGTTGCGCTTCCCGTTCATGTCGATCTACAGGGAGTTCACACAGAGCATCAAGGCGTTACTTTACAGGGGGGGGGGGGTGCGCTTCCCGTTCACGGGGATCTACAGGGAGTTCACAACGAGCAAAAATGCGTTATCTTACACGGGGGGGAATCCCGTTTTCCGTTTATGTCCATCTACAGGGGGTTCACAACGAACAAAAAGGCGTTACTTTGAAGAAAGAAAAACTGCTTCCTATTCACCCTGCTTCCCGTCCATGTCCACCAATAAAGGAGTTCACACAAAACATTAAGGCGTTGGTTTAAAGGGGGGGGGACTACCGACGCCAGCCCCCCTCCCCCTAAGTCCTCCAGCAATACAACCA